TATATTCTCATCAGCTAACTAGCCACATTCACCTCTCAAAATGCCAGACAAAAAAAATGATTCCACTAAACAGGCCCTATCTCAGGGTCTAATTTTAACACATAACTTGGGCTACATATTTTTTGTATCAATCATTCCGATTTTCTTTCCGAGTTTTTCGAAAGAGTGCATATCAGGAATATCGGAAAAAAAATTGAGAAAGGTTAAAATGGTTATTCCAAAACAAAAACAATATGTTTTATAGGAACAATTCAAATATTTCCCAAAAATATCTAAAAATGCTGATATCTCAAAAACGACAAAATTTTGCATAAGGGTAAATATGATCAAACAGCTCCCAAATGACTAGTGATGGGAAGTTTTCAATAAGTAATCATTAAAAACTTCCTATCTATGTACCAAACACTCTGTATTATAGTATAGGTGTCATTTTGGACAATTGAACCAGCACAGTGGACATTTCAACTTCTTATATGATATCCATTTACTACAAAAAACTTCATCTAGAAGAGTTATCGGAATATTGCAAAAATTTATATGTATTTTCTCATGCATGACAATTCTTTCGATGTCAATGTGGCATAATAAGCTGATGAAATATCTGTGATAGACGTTACTGGAGCCCAATCAAAATCCTTTTGATGTATTAAAATTAGCACTCCAACTGGATATTGCACCGAATGTTATTGTGGCCGGTGGCCCTCAGATCCTCAGAATTTTATTACCATTGCCCATAACTCTAGCAAGTGTTAAGTAAAGTTTCTCTAAATTAAAATTAATAAAAACGTATACAATATCATCTCGGTCAAGAAAAGGTAAGCAGTGAGCATGCTAGCAATGATTGCCATTGAGCATGAAATCGATGCTAAATTAAAAATGAATCATCTACTTGAAGATTTTGCTGCATTCAACGCTCGAAAATATCTTAAATAATATCCCAATAATTTTATTGAAAATGTACCTACTTACCCTAATGACAGAAAAGGTACGATGGACGTTTTATTTTTTAAAGTCCGTTTAACGTCGAAACATCCGAGGACTAAAATAGAACGTTGTATTAACGTTTGCACAAAATCATTTTTATAAACGACGAAAAAAGACGTTCGAAATATTTTCACAAAACGTACATAAGCATAAAGTTCTGAAAGAAACTACTGTTTCTGCAAGTGGTAATGTCGATGTCCGAGTATTTTTAAAAAGGTAAAGAAAGGATGTTCTTTAGACGTTTGATTAAGTTGTTTTCAAAACCTCTGTTAGGAACAATTAAAGAACGTCAGAATGTTTTCTATGAGTTCGTAAAAGTATGTTTTCATGAAAAGTCATGAGAGACGTTTTATAAAGGTTTCTGTTGGTCGTTTTCGGGAACACCGTTGAAAACATGTATCCCACGTCCACACGTCCGGAAATTTGTTCGAATAAGACGTTCTTAAAAGGTTGTTTAACTGTGATATTTGCACTACCTATAAAATAAGTCTATTGGATGGTGTTGGATACTTTGAAGAAAGTCCAGTGAATGTTCATATAGAGATCCTTGGAAAACGTCCTTTTTCGTTTTTGAGCGTTCGTATTAAAGCATTTTTGAAACGCTCATTTTCGACGTCTATATGACGTTTGAAGTGACATTTGCACCAAATAAAAATGCACCTTCATATATTCTCAGTTACTTTTACTGACGTTTTTAAAACGTTCTGACGTCCGATAGGATAATTTTGGAAACGTTTCTGTGCTATTAGGGTATATCTACATAATGTATCTGTTGATTGTTGCCAAGAGCTTGTATTGGGTGACTCTTACTTTGTTTGTTATGTTTCTTGTTTTCTTATGTTAGTTTTTTTTGTGGTTACCTAAGTTACATAATATAGTATGTGGTTTTATTGCTATGATGCTATGCGCTATGCCTTACTGTTTCGTGTAATTATTTTCTGCTTCTACAATTCAGATCTCTCGGATTTTCCCTAAGCGGGCCATGGGATGGGGCGGCAAATTTACTCATTGCCCAGGGCGGCAAAATACCTAGAGCCGGCCCTGGGTGATGCTGAGTGATGCATGTGTATTTCATTTATATTAGATAAAATCAGTTAAAGCTCACCCCCTGTGTTATGCATCGTTCAGGGAATAGGAAATCCCAAGTAAATTTTGAATGGATAATTAAAATAGGCTCCTCTAAAATATTTTGTCACAAATACATCAACACACAATAATATGAACAATTGATGTCACTAATAATTTTTCCAAGAGGTCTCGATTCCGCAAACGCAAACCATTAGGTGGTATGAGGGTGTCCAGAAATAAATGCAACAAAATTTGTTCAAAGATTCTTTAAAAATTTTGATTTTTTCAAAGATTCTTTAAAAATATTGGTATTTTTTATTGTTAGGAGCAGTTCAGAAAACTTTCAAAGCTACTGATAAACAGTTCGAAGTATCAGATGGACTGGTTTCGCCACGCTTCTCAGCGTTTGAAAAGGGAGCCCAATAATGAATAGAATACCTACTATATTATTACTTTTAATTATAAATCAGAAATAAAATGATTTGTCACAAAGATTATTATAGCTGTTTCTTACTTTTTATTTATATTTACAGGTCATTACCAATAAGTTGTAGTAGAAAAAGATTTTCGCCAAAAGGATAAGTACGGAAACAAATTCCTTTAGAACGTTGCCTAACTCAAAAATTCCAATTTAAAAACAGTTCAAACATATATTTTTATGTGGCTAAAACGTCACTAAAACGCTGTCGTGTTAATAGACAAATAGTACTGATGACGATTTTCCACATGGAATTATGAATAATGTTTGGAATGTTTTTATGTTAACTAAAAAATTAAAATTTTTGACCTAGGAGGTTCTTCCTAAATTGAAGGACATATCAAAAACGTCCTAAGAATGTTATTTTCATAACGTTAATGTTCCGTTTAATGGTGTCGTTTTTATCAGCTAATTTAAAAACGTCGCAATAATGTTATTAATGAACGTTAATGTTACGTTTAGTGGCGTTTCTGTTACGAAAATGTTACGTTTATGTGATGTTTTTTTGAACAGAACAGTAACGTCAGTTTTTTTAACGTACCTACTATAAAGTCCCGTTGCAGGACTCATAACGACTATGTGATGCAACTAGAACGCAAATGTTCCAGCTTGTATAACGTAACAATAAAACAGACGAACATGATTTTAACGAAATTGGGATGTTTTTTTGCTTAGTGGGATGTCACCATCAACTGACCGGATTACAGTGAAAAAGACTGATGAAAGAAATAAATTAAAACAGAAGAGATATGTTGATACTAGGAGAAAAACACAATACCTATCACACTTTTATAGAAGAAGATTTAGTGCTTTGCGAACAGCCTAGAATAAATTTTTTAACTCCATATTTTGTCCCTAAGCCTTATTCAGTAATAAAAATTATGGGTTCCACTATCAAAGCTATATACGAGACGAGGCGAGAAAATAATTACAAGAAACTCTTCGTGTTTCAAGAAGTTTTTCCTGTTGGTTTCGATGACAACGTGATAAAAATTTACCATCGGCTCCGCCATTAGTATACAAAAAAACCAGAAAAATGGGACAAAAAAATTATTGGAAGTCTATCGATGATGGTGTCACCCCTTTAGCTAATTTTCCGTTGACTCCGTCACAAAATATGGAAGTACTCCAAGAGAGTCAATCTACAATCAGCCTTGAAAATATAGATGACTACAACATAGCCAAATTATTCGAAAATTCTATTAATCCAATAGAAAATGTTAAGATGTCAGCAGACAGCTCCACGAGTTCAGAAGAATTTTTGGATTCAGTATGGCCGAATCTACAGAAGTTTGTAATCAAAGACCTCACAGAGACTGTAGAAAGCCCAAGTATCTTACTGGCTATATCTAGTGACTGTTTAAATCTTAGAGTTTATATTATATAGTAGTTTAAGTTTTTTTAAAGCTAGAGGAGCTAAATCAATTCTGATTCCATTCTGTAGCTTCTCATTGATAGACATGAAATAATTAAACATCCAGAGGCAAATTGCGGATTTATGGTAGCAACATAATAGAAGAGTTGCTACATTGGAGAAATTATTGATCGAGCTATCACATATTCCCAGAACTTGATCCGAATCAATATCCGGGAATCATAAAAAATTGAACATTGAAGATCAGTAGGTAGTTAATCAAATCAATTCTGTCAGTCTGTTTTGTAACTTTCAATTGAAAGAACAGAATTGAATAAAGAGAAGAAAATAACTGATATATATGGTAGCAAATTTGAATTATCATACTTACTGTATCATAAAGTAGGTGGTATGGAAATTTCCACATTTTGGCAGAATGATGTGGACCGAATTATACTCGTTTTGTTTTCCTGATTACTTTATCAGCAGTTACCAAAAATAGGCCATATTTACCGATGTTGCACTAAATGAAAATCCGATTCAGCAGCAAGAGTAGGGTTCCATGACTTAAAATATTCCTTGAAGAATTTTGTGAAAAATTTGTGTGGATTTTTTTTTCAGAAAAATCTCATTCGTTTTGAGTAATTTTCCAATCTAAACAAGCAACGAAAGAACTTCTTTTGAGTCAAAAATCCTATTCGAAAGAATTAATCCAATTAAGTGGCGAGCCATTAAGGTTGTATAACAGCTATTGTTTTGCAACCCCCGAGAGAAAAATCGTCTAATTTCGTCCGGTAACGTGGGAGGGTGCGAAATATAAACCATAATTTTAGACGGTCACGCGAAAGGGTCGTTAAAATAAGATCATTTTTGCCATCGCCTTTCGAGAATTTTGTAAGGGCGTTTAATGAAAATCGCAACAACATACCGAGTGTCTTATAATAATTAATAACGTTCAAGACTATGAGTAGAAATTAGATCATATTGTTTCCAAATCCTTTCCAAAAAAAATACTAAAAAGTCATCTTTTGAGTTTCTCTTTTAATTGGTCCCCAAAGGGGGTAGAGAGCATAAAATCAAAAATAATATTATATTTTTGAGGAGGATTATTCTTACCTGGCAATCCAAATAAGTGACTTGAATTTTTGCCATCCGATAAACTCCCTAGCCAACTGGAATACGTTGAAGGCGACTGCAACTGAAGTAGCTGATAAGTAGAATTATTGTAGTTAGCCTCAGATGAGCCCGATTGATTTTGGATAAATTTCTGATATTCCAACAAGTTGGTGTGACGTTCAGGAGGCAACGAGTCCGGCCTAGCGAAACTCTGAAAGTCCAAAATGGAATAGAACTTTGCACCTGGAACAATGACGAGTTGAAATAAATATTAACAGGTTGCTGTATGAGTTACCTGTTCTACTAAGAGCATTTATTGGTGTAGGTTTAATAAATCTAACAAGTTGTTTCCCACTTTCTTCATTACCATCGCCATCATGTTCATATTTATCATCCTCACTATTATTATCTTCAAATTTATTTATTTGTTTATTATTGCAATCGTCTTCTTTATCACTATTAACACGATTTAATCCTAAAATGTTATCTATCGAGAATTTATTAATTGTACTAGAATTATCACAGTGTTTAATGTTGCTAGTGGTTTTGGGATCGTCATTGGACGAATCGAAAATGTCCAAACTGTCTTCGTCTTCCGAGGTGAACGTAGCGTTTCCATTTTCTGAGGCGCAGCTGATGTCTGAGTTTTGTCGCGGCGAAGTTGGGTTTGAAATATCCATGTCCTGAAATGATGCAATTTTTTAAATGATCTGCCAATAATGAATACAAAGGAAAACCTAGCTATGGTAATATGTAAAGTAAAATGGCCATAAATGGCAGACTAGAAAGAGCAAAGAAATTCAACCGCTCCCAAAAGAAATTAGGCACATATATACCAGTAAAAAAAACAGAATTCGCAAAAAAATTAACACAAAAACTGGGGAAAGATCCTTTAAAACCCCATGAAGGCATAAATCAAATTAATAAAAGAATAATCAAAACAATAAAAGAAACAGTAAAAAATATCATGAAACGAAAAATAGGACAGGAAAATTAAGCAAAGGAACAAAACAAATGCAAATGCAAAATAGCCAGAAGGATGAGAAAACGAGACATTAAAAACTACCAAGAAGCACAAATCCAAAAACTGATAGAACAACAAAAAGGCTTAAACATTTTCAAACGGGACAACGCACACGAAAGAGAAATTACAAAGCTGATGGACAGACAAAGAAACATTATGGATGGCAGAATATTGCTTGTAGCGGAAAATTTCTATAAGGAACTAAACGACGCAAACGCAATAACGAGAATAACAAACAAGAAACCGAAAGTGAAACATCCAAAATCTAAACGTTGGATCAGAAAAGATCTCTGGTATGGAAAAGCAAGAAATTGCAAAAGCGCTTAGTCAATTTAACAACGGAAAGGCCGCAGGAATGAACGATATACTACTAGAAATGCTGAAGGGGCACGAGAATACCTAGCAAAACAACTGGGAAAACTTTTCAATAAATGTCTAACACGACTGGGAGACTGCCATCGTCGTTCTGACATACAAAAAAGGAGACCGATTAAATCTTGAAAACTATATACCCATAAGTCTCCTGTCTTAGATATACAAACTGTTTATAAGACTAATCACCAACCGCCAAGAAAGGAAATTCTATGAAAACCAACCTAAAGAACAAGCAGGCTATAGAAAAGCTACAGCACTATAGGACATCTTCGCAAAGCTCTTTAGCGAGTCATGAGATGGTTTGGAATCCCGGAAAAATGTATTATCTTAGTAGAGAACCCCCACAAAAATAATACTGCGAAAGTTTTGGTAAATGGACAACTATTCGAACCTTCTCAAACCAGTACTGGAGTAAGGCAGGGCTGCGTTTTAGCGGCTTTACTCTTCAACATGTTTCTTGCTGCTCTATCCATCATTGTCATTGTAGATAACATTTGAATACCAGAAGATTAGGTAGGTATCCGATACAGATATGATGGAGGATGGTCGCCTTTTAAATTTATCGTGTCACTACAAGACCCAGAGTCAAATTCATAACAGACCTCCAGTACGCGCATGACTGTGCGTTGCTTGCTTACTCTGCGGAAATTCTGCAAGAATTATTGAGCACCTATGCCTGGGTTTACGAAGCCCTGGGTCTTAAGCTTAACACATCGAAAACGAAATTATTAACAACCAGCAATAATTAATTAAAATATTGAAGTTGATGGGAAACAACTCGAGCATCTGTATAACATTTCAACTATCTTGAAAGTATTTTAAGTACCAGATACAATATCGAAGACGAAATAACAAATCGTATGAGTGCTGCTACCTGCTGCGAAGGTTTACTGAAGTCTCGTCTTTTTTAACAGGCGCCATTTGAAAGCGCTAGAAAACCTTTAAAACGACACCTTCGTCAAATGACGCGAATTCGATGGTTTCACAAAGTATCGAATTCCGAGGTGCTTTGCAGGACCAATTGCAGAAACATATAGAGGTTTTATTGAGGAGAGCAAGACTCAGATGTCTCGAGGATGGAAAAACAGCGGTTACCAAAGTTACTCCTAAATGGAAATGGAAAACTAACTGGTGAGCTTGGTGCAAAAGTTGCTCATAAATGTATAATATAGTTAAGAAGTCGGTTAAATTCAGGTTCATACAAGAACATTTTGAAATTCTGTGATGTAGGCAAGACGACAAACACGGCAAAGAAGATGGACTATGAATTTCGCTACGTGGAATGTACGCAGGGTTTTGAATTGAAAACGGATATTATTGCATCAGAAATTGAACATCGATTCAGTAGCTCTGACCGAAACCAAGAAAAAAGGAAGTGGCACCGAAAATGTTGCAAAATATATTCACCTTTTCTTTACTGAAGTGTCAAAGGAAAGGAGAGCAGCTAAAGGGGTATCCATACTGATAAGGAAAAACTGAAAGAACAAAATTAACAACTGAGAAGCTGTAGATGAAAATATCCTAACGGTCAACTTGAAACTACATGGCTATAACATCAACATTATTATAGCAGCCTACGCTCCATCAGAGGACAAAAGAGTCGGCATTAAGCAAAGAGTTCTTTGACAAATTGGATGAAATCCTAGTAGATATTGGAAGAAATAGAGAAATCATAATGATAGGGGATTTCAATGGTAGAACGGAAAGGACGAGCAATAGCTCAGTTTTAGGACCATTTGGAGAAGAAATAATCAATAATAAAGGTTAAAGGTTCATACATCTCTGTGAGACCCAGAGACCCACAATTTTAGAATAAACAACGAATTTTCCCAAACACAAAGATATTCACTGCTACACATAGATACAGGATACCTGTAACCCAAAAACTATATTTCACTATGTGATAAGCAAACAAGAAACAAACATAGAAATAAACGACGCAATAGTCCCAAGAGAAATAGCTTGCGGGTCAGATCAGTGCGCCAAAATAAAGTTGCAATTTAGGAAAATGATCAAGAGCCCAGAGGAATAAAACATCAATGCCATACTCATGGACACAGTGGATACAACAAAATAAAATTTTGACAGTTTTAGATGAAAGCACTGTATTTCTATATCAGAAGCCACTCGAAGGCAAACTATGGAACTATGGAACCCTGAAGAATGCATATTCAATGAACTCTATGAGAACATTATAAGGAATCTAATAGAAGCCACCCAAAAAGTAATAGGAACGAAGAAAAAACATATCAACAAGAAATACTGGTGCAACGAGGAGATAGAGCTATTAGTCCAAGAGAAGTAGCAAAAATGTCTGAAATGCCTAACAACAAAAAATTAATAAAACCTTTGAACTTTATAAAGACACAAAAAGACAACTAAGAACGTGCATCACTTTAGCTAAGAACGAGTCATGGGATAAGAAATGTGAAGAAATTAACTCCTACATAGGGGGAAGGAAATGCTCAGAGGTATGGCCATTATTATCAAATGTCAAAAACCCAGGAAAGGACAGAGTTAATATCTAGGTAATCAAACCAGAGCAATGGATAGAACACTACAAGGGTCTATTATAAGAAAGTAGAACGAAATATATATTCTCCAAGACGTATTGAAGTATATGGAGAAGTAGTTGAGATATCTGAAGAAACAGTAACAAAGACTGTTAAAAATCTTAAGTCAGGTAAAGCAAGCGGTCCAGAAAGGATATACTCCGAAATGCTGAAATGGGGAACTGAGAAGCTCTTTAAAGTTCTTACATATGTTATCAATAAATGCCTAAATGGGTATCCTGTTCCACAAGACTGAAAAATGGCTTTTATATCATCCATTCACAAAAAAAGAAATGAGCTGGACTGCAATAACTATCATGGCATAACAGTCACAAGCACACTAAACAGATTATAAGGTAAAATCCTGCGTGATCTCATTGAAGAAGATTAGAAAGTGAAAGAAGAAGAGCAGTGCGGTTTTAGAGCAGAAAGCTCAGGTACAGACAACGGATTTTGCCTTAAACAAGTCGAAGAAAAGAGATCTGCTAGACATTTGGAAATTCACCTAACATTTGTGGACTTACAAAAAGCATACGATACATTTATAGTGAATAAAGACTACGTCAAGGATGTTGTACTTATCTCTCCTACGCTTATCAAAATATACGTAGCAGTTGCACTAAAAAATTGGGAGAGGAAGATCCATGGAATGGGTATAGAGATAGGTGATAGGTGCTTGTTTACTCTTGAGTTTGCAGATAATCAGGTCACAGAGGCCAGTAACAAAGAAGACGTGCAATATATAATTAGAAAGCTGAATGAATCAAGAATGGGGCCTGAGAGAGATAGTATAAATAAAACAAAATATCTATGTGTAGGCACCTAGTACGGCAACTAGGAAGTGGACGATGGTCAGGAAATTCTGCAATGTCAGGAGTATGAGTATCTAGGCATCACATTCGATAATACCGGAAAAGATGTGGAAGAAATTGAAAAGCGAATAGCAAATAACTAAAAAAGTAGTAGGATCCCTAAATGGAATCTTATGGAGCAAGGTAATAAATATGCGAAAATTTAATATATGTATACGAGACAATGATAAAGAGCAGCCTTCTATATGGAGCCGAAACTTGGAGAATTACAGATAGACAAAAAAAGAAAGTAGAAGCAGTTGAAATGGAGGATAAAAAAACAACTAATGGGAATAGAAGGCAGGACAGTTCAAGACATTAAAAGGGAACAACTTACCTGGTACGGACACGTTGAGCGAATATCAGAGGCCAGGTGGTACCGAAAAAGGTACATTAGCAACCAACAGTTAGAAGAAAACGAGGAAGACCAAAACTGGAATGGCAAAAGACCATATAAAAGTCCATGATTGGAAGAAATCTTTCATCAGAGGATTGCGACGATAGAAGAAGATGGAAATTAGGTGTCGGATAACGAAGAAAGACGAACTAAAACGACGTATACATATATATAATACATATATATATATTTTTGCGATCAAAGTTTTCTTCTGATCGTTGAAAATGAATAACTTCTAAATCTCAAAAAAATTGAGATTCTATAAAAAAAAGTTTATCGAAAAGATTAACAATGATGAGATAGGTAGGCAATATGATGAATTTGTAACTAGTTTTAATGCTTAAGGCCGCAACAACGATGAGAATGCAGTGCTCTGATTGGCTGATTTTTCGAAACTTGTTTTAAGGTCTTTAAAAAAACGGCACATCAGAATTGGCTCAAATTTGGCATAAACATTATTTGATCGATTATCTACGATACCTTT